GTGTGTGTGTGTGTGTGTGTGAGGGGAACAGGGTCACATCACAGGAGAGTGAACTGTCTGTCAGAAATCATAGCACGTCAGCTGTCTTAACCGCGGCTTGTGTACTGCATCATCACTGTGTCTGTCACGCGACTCTGTTGCCCTTTCGGGCTTGAACTGATGGAAAAACTAACGACACTATTAACTGTCTTGATATTTACTTTGAAAGCTTGAAGCTCGCGATTATGGTAAGGGGCGTTACATTTCTGAAGTGTGCTTGTGGTGTTCGGCCAATCACAATGCACTGGTTCAGCTGGCCAATCAGAGCAGACTGCGCTTGTCAAAGGAGGGGGCTTTGTTGAAAACGACTTGTTTGAGACTTGTTGATAGAGGACCTACAATAATGCACAGTATTTGAAAAATAATGTGTTTTTTTTAACATTAAAGCATGTCAACATATTCTGTTACACCAAATACACAAAATAATGATCTTTAAAATAGCATCATATGACCCCTTTAATATGGACAACAACAACAACAAAAAAAACTGTGTGTGTGAATTCCAGTGTTGCTATTGTTAACTAAAACCAATAAAAATAGTTTTCATTAATTGGAATAAATAAAAAATAAATAAAAAACATTGTTGAAATGTTGAGAAATAAAAGTATTAATATCAAAATATTAATAAATACTAAATACTATATAAATAATACTTAACACTGGTGATTTTGGGTGCTGCAAATTAGATCCAGAATCTAAGAATGTCCATTATATGGGTGTTTGCAGGATGTGACTGAGGAAAACAAAAAAAGAGGATCAAAACAAAAGATAAACAAACAGCTTCGGTGTGAAGCGGCAGCAGTTAGTAATTATCTTGTGTATCTGTGTTCTAATTTCATTAATTGGGATCAGGGGTCAGAGCTTTTGTATCTGTTGAATGGGCGAATCAACTATATGCTGTAAAATCCAATGCCCTTCCGCTCCTTACAGTCTGGTTAACAATTTCTCTAGGTTTGATCAATTAGTGCTGAACGTATCACTAATTAAATAAATCAATGTTAATGATGTGTGCATATCAGCTCTCTTCCTGTAGTGCCACAGATCTGTCCTCTGTCTTGCTCTATGATGATTTAAATGGTGTCATTTGTCAGACTGATGGCACACTCACCTGCCACTCCAGGTGTTGTCTCGGTCTGGATTGGCTGTTTAGTTTAGGACAGCCTGGAGGCCCAGCTGTGCTCCGCCCCTCTCAGAACATCTTGGACACGGGAAGCCATCCCTATGGACTTGTGTTTCAGCAACAGGCCTCATGTAGTGACACGTGAATCGTTAAAATGCTTGAAAGTAGTTGTTTTGTCATAGCTCATTAATTTCTCATCAGAGAAAGATGGCTTTTTAAGGTTTTACAAATTTGTTGTTTGGCTTTCAGTTTAATGTTTATATGATAGAGATGAGAGATTAATTTGCTCTTAGCTTGTTGGGCTGATTTTTTTTGCATGCTAAGATGTACCCAAATCTACACTTGCATTCAGTTTAGTCATGTTTAGTCTTGTTATGCAGTGATGTGGTTTATTAACATATTTAGACAAAGGCATCTGCAGACTAAACGTCAACTCCTTTGCTTCACAGTTCTCCAGTGCTGCAAACAATGAACACGTTGCACAGAAATTGATTTGCTGTTTACACCAAATAGTGTAATATGACCAGATTAATGAGGCTCGGTTTTTGGAGACATGAGTGCTGCAAGGTCGTCATGTTTAGCTTGCAGTGTTTCATCACATCAATACTTTGGAAAGAGTGGGAGAAAGACTTTTAGGTTTCTGTCTAACTGTGTGTTTGGTGTGTGTATATGTGATATTTATATATACAGGTGCATCTCAATAAATTAGAATGTCATGGAAAAGTTCATTTATTTCAGTAATTCAACTCAAATTGTGAAACTCGTGTATTAAATAAATTCTATGCACACAGACTGAAGTAGTTTAAGTCTTTGGTTCTTTTAATTGTGATGATTTTGGCTCACATTTCACAAAAACGCACCAATTCACTATCTCAACAAATTAGAATACTTCATAAGACCAATAAAAAACATTTTTAGTGAATTGTTGGCCTTCTGGAGAGTATGTTCATTTACTGTACATGAACTCAGGGTCTGGTGTCTCTCATCTTCCTCTTGACAATACC